TCATTTATACAAATCAAAAATAAATGCACACACACAAAAACATGTATTTTAAAAGACATAAAAAGAGGGACATAAAGCACACTGGCATAACTGTGAGTGGGAAAGGTGAGAGAAATGATACTGGAGAATGAAGACAAGCGAGAACAAACAGATAAATGGAAAAGAAAACAAAAAATGACTACCAGAACCATTCTAACATAGTCCTTGCAACCTTTGATAGCTTGGGTTCAGTATTAAAAATGAAATGAACAAGAACTGACACAACATCAATGTCACAACTGACACAAATCAACTTTGAAAAAGAATACATTTCAAAGATTTCTTCAAGCAAGAACAAGCAGGCTTAGTCAGTTTATGATCCAGACTTGAGAAGGAGCCGCGGTAGTGAAGAGGTGGCAGTGTCGTGGGAATGCCACGAGCCAGAGGGAGTCCTGAGTATGTTCGAGCGTTTTACGCCATACACATGATATTTGACTTGGGAACTTGGCAAAATAAGCACAAATACTGAATTGTATTAGCAAAAGGGGGAAAAGAAGATGAAGGGAACAAGTTCCATTTTTCCATGTAGTTGTCTTTTATCAATTTATAGTGGATGGCTATGGAGAGTTGGGGGCAGTAACACGTGGGAAAGAACGAAGCTCTGAGGTATTGATCTGAATGTGTGGTTTCTAAGAACAGCTGGCGAGCTATAAATGTGCATCAGACTCTTTAGTGCAGTTAACAGACTTTATATGGAATACAAAGAGAAACTTGGACTGCTTACAAACTCCATGAATGGGATTTTATGGACAGAAGGGACACTTTCTATTTTTTTACCTAGAAAAGTAATTAAGAGATTCTGAATGTTCCCATAGTTCAGTAAAACTTACAGAGAATAATGGATTAACATGTAATCACTGAAATGTGATTTTACATGTCAAACGTGATTGTATATTTTAAGAGGCTACACCTACATTTGAAATACACCTTAAAAAAAAAAGGGATACACCTTAAAGCATGGATCTCCACCCTTCTAATTTTCCTAAATTTTGACTGGCATTACATAAAGTCTTAAGATTTCCCAGTACACAGATTTAGAAGTATCTGGACCAGAATGTCAAAGTTAATCTTCCTTTTTGCCACCATGAGGCTTGTGAGATCTTAGTTCCTCACCAGGCGTTGAACACATGCCCACAGCGCTGAAAGTACAGAGCCCTAACCAATGGACTGCCAGGGAATTCCAAAATTAATTTTTAAAAGAAAGAAAAATGAGTAATTTTGGACAACCTTTTAGAGAAAACACCATCAACAATAAAGGGTAATTTGGAAAAAAAAATACTAATATCATTCAGCAGTAGAAAGACCACTTTTTTCTCTCTCTCAAGGCTACTTGAAGTGTGGTCTGTTAGTCAGCAATAAGATGTGTACTGATACTGAGAGTAAAAGTTTTAAAAAATCTGTAACAAATTGACAGAACAATTTTCTCATTTTAATTATTTACTTTTTTATTATATTTTACAAAAATGCTAGTCTGTGAACTGGGGAAAAAAAACCACTGATGCTTCTATATGTGGTTTGAGAAATACTGATCTATACTACTGCTGATTCCACTACTTCTAGCAGTTTCTATCACTACTGCATGCCAAACATGGTGATATAAATGCACCACATACATCATTCTCAGAACAACTCTGAAATGTCATTTCCTGTGGCACTGAGGCCTGCTTTTCTTTGTGGGTCGCAGAACAAATTTAAGGCTAAAAAGCAGGCTATAGTGATCATGGTAAAGAAACTAAGATAAATCTTACCAAACTTATATTAACAATAAGCTTCATTCAAAAATTTTTATTGAGCATGAACTATGTGGCTAACACAGTTCTGGCTCTTTAGTACCAACTATGATAAAAATCTCTGGATCTTCCCTGGTGTCTTTTTCTGGGCTCCCAAATCACTGCAGATGGTGATTACAGTCATGAAATTAAAAGACACTTACTCCTTGGAAGGAAAGTTATGACCAACCTAGACAGCATATTAAAAAGCAGAGACATTACTTTGTCAACAAAGGTCCGTCTAGTCAAGGCTATGGTTTTTCCAGTGGTCATGTATGGATGTGAGAGTTGGACTATAAAGAAAGCTGAGCGCAGAAGAATTGATGCTTCTGAACTGTGGTGTTGGAGAAGACTCTTGAGAGTCCCCTGGACTGCAAGGAGATCCAACCAGTCCATCCTAAAGGAGATCAGTCCTGGGTGTTCATTGGAAGGACTGATGTTGAAGCTGAAACTCCAATACTTTGGCCACCTCATGCGAAGAGCTGACTCATTTGAAAAGACCCTGATGCTGGGAAAGATTGAGGGCAGGAGGAGAAGGGGACGACAGAGGATGAGATGGTTGGATGGCATCACCGACACTAATGGACATGGGTTTGGGTAAACTCCGGGAGTTGGTGATGGACAGGGAGGCCTGGCATGCTGCAGTCCATGGGGTCACAAAAAGTTGCACACGACTGAGCAACTGAACTGAACTGAACTTCCCTGGTGGTCCAGCAGTAAAAGAATCTGCCCAGAGTCATCCCTGGATTGGGCAGATCCCCTGGAGAGGGGAATGGCAGCCCATTCCAGTAATCTCACCTGAAAAATCCCATGGACAGTGAAACCTGCAGGGCTGTAGCCCATAGCGTAGCAAAGAGTTGGACATGACGACCATAAGTCCGTATTCTGTCTGTGAGTCTCTTTCTGTTTTGTAAGACTTAGCAACTAAACCACCACCCACCATGACAAAATCTCTCACTTTACAAATCTTATGAATGACTACATTCTAGTAGGGGAGATGACAATAAAGAAATAAACTCACAGATCAATAACCTCAGGTAGAGATAAGTACAGTGAAGAAAAGTAAAGCCGAGAAAGGGAAGAGAGGAAGACTGGGGCAGACAAGGAGAGGTTTATTTTAGATCCTGTGATTACAAGGGGGAAGCATAGCAGTTACGACAACGGACTCTGGAGAGAATGCCTGATTCAAATACTTGTTCCGTCACTAGTTTTATGACCATGGACAAGTTCTCTAACGGCTCTGTGGCTCGCTCCCTCATCCATAGAATGGGAAATTAATAGTGCCGACCTAACATTAGTGTGAAGACTAAGAGTCAGAAGAAGTAAAGTATTCAGGACAATGCCTGCTACATAGTAAATGTTTCCTAGACATTATTATTTCTGCAGGCCGTGAGACTTAGGGAAGACCAGAAAGAGGAAGGAGGCCATGCAAAGATATGATAAAATAATGACAGCTATAATTAGATGAGCACCTTGGGGTATTCATGCAGGTTATGTATATTTTCACCTTTAGTCTTCACAGTGATCTTGAAATAGATATCATTATTCCCATTGCATAGAGAAAAAAAATCTGAAGGTTAGAAATGTTAAGTGACACGTTTAAGGCCTGCCAACTAGCTAATGGGTGTCAGTGAACTCTGTCAGTCAAAAGCCTTACTTCTTCTATTGGGTGCATCTTGCCTCTACTAGGTATTGGCATAGAACTGAAAATATCCTTAATGTTGCTCATTCATCCATTTACTCATTACTTCTTTCAAAAAAAATATTTACTGAGTGCCTAGCAAGTATCAGGGCTTCCCTGCTGGCTCAGCCAGTAAAGAATCCATCTGCAATGAGGAAGACAGCAAGTATAGTCCATTGGTAATATTTTCTTTGTCTTCAAAGAGTAGACCCTTTTATCTGGGATATAGTGATGTAAGAAGAGCACTCAATGAATTGCAGAGATAAGGAATTCAATGGGGGTGGGGGAAGCCCATGTGCATGGAGACCAATGAGGCCCAGTTCAAAAGAGGATTTGGGGACTTCCCCTGACAGTCCAGTGGTTAAGGTTAAGACTGCACTTCCACTGCAAGGGGTGTGGGTTTGATCCCCGGCAAGGGAATTAAGATCCCACATGCCACATAGTTTAGCAAAAACAAAAGAGGATTTAGGAAAAAGAGAGAGAGGATTTGGGAAGAACTGGGAGGAAAATTTAAAAGGCAAGCAGGGAGCAGAATCAAAAAATGCTTTCTGTGCAGGGAGCGGGGAAGCACTGGAGCTTCCACTGAGGAGGACTTCAGAGCAGCCAGGCAAACTCATGTCCACAGAGAAATCCCCCTACAGAATCTCGGACAGAAGGGGGAATTTATGTAACACCTCAGAGACAACTGTATGTTAGTGGTGCAGGAGGAAGGGAAAAGAAAGAAGAATCAAGAATTTAAAAACCTGAAAACTGACAGCTTAGAGGATCACTGCCAGTGGGGGGGATGGAGTGGGACATGAACACACATTACAGTCTAAGGAATTTTAACATGAAGACTGACTTCATAAATTTGTTTCTTTTGGCCTCTTTTTAGTTTTACAAAGTTAGGAAAAATAATAGAATAAGCATTATGTAATGGTTACCTTGTAATTCATAAACAAAGAACATGAACTGGTTGTTATTCAAAATGGTTCCTAATTACAAATTCTTAATGATCAAAGGCAGCCTTATAGCAAGGCAAGACACTAAGTGCATCTTATGCCCTATTTACTGGCTGTTCCTACATATTCCTGCTCCTGCATTTATAAAGCAGCTTCCAGAATGAAGCCCTGCCTCCAAGGCAAGGCACACTATGACATGGGCCTGACATGAAAGGTTTGATATCAACAGTGACTTTCTTTGAACTCTCTAGAGGATTTTCTCTCACTCAAGCAGAGACTTAAGACATCATTTTAAGAAAATAAGATCTGAAACGTATTACCTATGTCTTTCACTCTGGATGCTTGCTCCTCCAGCATGTAAATAAATGGCCACCACTTGCTAGCTGGATTATTTTTCTTGAGCTACTGACAACTTTATAATAAACTGTCTTTTAAATTCATTAAATGGAAAAGGCAAAAAATGAGACTCCAGCATATATAAATGGTTCTATCACTGCAGTGGCTCTGGTACTTCTGCAGGTTCTATGTCCCTCAGATCAGTTTGGGGAAGGCAGGTGTAACAGTTCTTACCTTCTTCAGCAATGACCGTTAGTGTGACAGTGACCCCAGCATCCTTGATCAGCTGAACAATGTTATCATGGGACAACTCAACAATGGACTGTCCATTCACTGCAGAGATATGATCTCCAACTTTCAGCTTCCCACAGCGATCAGCTGGACTTCCTTCTATGACTCGGCCAATTTTATGAGGAATAACTATGAAGAAAAAAAGTTCCCAGGTTTTTCAATTATTTAACATATCTCTTAGTATTGGGTTTATCATCAGCATCAAAAATTCAACCTAATAACAAAGAAAATCCTTCAAAGATATATCAGAAAAACCACCACGAGTGATCATCCTATCCAAATGCAACTATCTTCATGTTATCTTCCATTCTTTGTCGACATGCAGATACTCTTTACACAGCTGCAATCACGGCATATAAACCTCTTTGCTTTTCTCCACTTACCAGAAACCTTTTCCAATTTTTATATTGTCCTCCTAATAATCCCATTTAAAGGCTACTGACCTCAGTGATATTTATTAAAATATCTCATGTTTCTTGTTTGCCATTGGCTGTTTAGGCTGCAACAATCATTTGGGTATTTTAGAAACTGCTACAATGAGATCATCTTTGGTTCAGCTGAAGGGGCATTTACTCCCACAAGAAATCTTGTAAATAAATGCAGTTCAAAATCAAGTTCAGGACTCAGTATGGTCAGAAATCCAGTTACAGTAAAAAGACTGATCATTAAAATGAATCATATTTACTTCTAGAACAAAATTTATTCCTCTTATTTGTGCCTCTATATATATTTTTTTAATTAGAAAAGCTGAGTGGAATTAGAACATTAAGTGTTTAAGATTATTTGGCTTATGGATAAAATCCTACCCTGGAAACACAAAGCTACTCTAAGACATTTGGAAAGATACTTTGTGCGGTTCTATTATATCTCTAGTTTAATGCTGAAGGCTTTCCTAGAGTAACTATTAAGACTCTTCACTGTTATTATGCCTTAAAATGAGTTCTCAGACATTCAGGGAATCTTATGAAAATATCTTTCACCACTTAATAAGGGGCATTCATATTAAGAAACAAGTGTTCCTTCTATGCTGTCTAGAATTTCTTTGCCTACCTTTATCTGGCACTTGGGCTCCTGCTGAATGTGGATTATTATCAATAAGGATAATTTAATATTTTTAAATGGCACTGTGATTTTGTTTAATTTCTATAGTAAAATGGGCTCCTTACTAGTATTTCTGAATTATATCTAGGTGTATGTTAGGGTCATTTTAATAGAATTTCATTTGGACTGGAAGTTATTCTTGGCCATGATTTATGCCCCATGGACAGTTGGTGCCATTCCTTGGCCCTTCTAGGATTATGCAGTGGGAGATTTTATCTTAAAAAAGAGGAAGTCAATGTGGAAGCAAGTACCTTTTAGCTCTGAATTATATCAAGCACTTACACCATTTTCCTCATTGTTGTTGTGCTTAGTCGCTCAGTCATGTCTTACTCTTTGAGACCCCATGGACTGTAGCCCTCCAGGCTCTTCTTGTCCGTGGAAGTTTTCAGGCAAGGACACTAGAGTGGATTGCCATTTTCCTCCTTCAGGGTATCTTCCCAACCCAGTTAAAACTGCATCTCTTGTGTCTCCTGCATTGGCAGGCAGATTCTTTACCACTAGCACCACGGACTTGGGTTTGATCCCTGGGTTGGGAAGATCCCCTGGAGGAGGGCATGGCAACCCACTCTAGTGTTCTTGCCTGGAGAATCCCATGGACAGAGGAGCCTGGGGGGCTATAGTCCATGGGGTCTCAAACAACTAAGCGACTGAGCACAGCACAAGCAGCACGGGCTGGGTCCTGTGCCAGGCGACGTGAGCTGATGCCCAGCTAGGACAACAGGCAGCACATCAGAACTACATGGAGAATCACACAGGGGCCCGGTGGTGACCTTCTAAATCAATATCTCAGTAACTCTCCTTCTTAGAAGAGACTGACTTGTAGACAATGTTCACTCCAGATCCCCTGAGAAGAAAATCATTCAATTCCCTGGAACACTGAAAGGGGTTTGTTCAGACTTGGGGAAAGCATCAAACAAGAAAAACCTCTGAGGCCTCAGTTGTTCCTTTCTCATCATGTGAGTAATACGGTCAAAAGGAAATTGGCAAATCTTGGTACAGAATTTCCTGAAGGGTTCGTCATAGAGGTGAGGAGAGAGAAAAGTAGTTTATTGTCTAACAATAATAATAACAAAAGATTGTTATTGTCTTGGCATTTATAGCGGCACCACCAAAACAGTTAAAGATAAACAGACCAGTAGAAAGATAACTTCTGAACATTCTTTGAATAGATTGTGAAGTTTTCAAGGTAACTGCTTAGAGCACTTCCCAGGTGGCACTAGTGGTAAAGAACCCGTCTGCCGGTGCAGGAGACACAAGAGATGCAGGTTCAATCTCTGGGTCAGGAAGATCCCCTGGAGAAGGAAATGGCAACCCACTCCAGTATTCCTGCCTGGAGAATCTCATGGACAGAGAAGTCTGGTGGGCTACAGTCCATAGGGTTGTAAAGAGTCGGACATGACTGAAGCGACTTAGTATGCACAAGCGCTTAGAGTACACACGGCTAAGGAACAGTCTGATGTCCTGCCTTACTGTCGGTATAAAAGTCTATGGGAATTTGCATGAAGTCAACTTCTCCATCTCCATTCATCTTTGGCCTAAATCTGTCTCACAGGCTGGCTTGTCCAGCTGCTGAGATGACTTTGGTGCTCTTAAAACATTACTTTTCAGGAAAAGAAAAGAAAGGAAAAGAAAAATAGCTGAAAATGTCCCCTTTTAAAAGAAATCCTTTGCAACCAGAACTGAAAAGTATGAAAAGTGGAATGCCAAAACCACTGAAGTGCTGGCCATACCAAAACTAGTCAGGTCCTTTCCATCTTCAACAGAGGTGTTTGCTGAGTACTCTACTCATGCAGCCCAACAAAAACTGGTCCAGGACAACAAGGATGCTGGGCCTGGATCCCTGACCTTTGAAGAAGTCAATGGTACAGAATTTTATAACTGGTATTAGAGATGCTAGTGGGAACTCTTCCTGTGACAAATGTCAGCAGAGAATACATTTCAGCAGCAGCAGCAGAAAAAAAAAAACAACCCAACAACATACAAGGAGTAGAATACCAAACTGTACCAAGGCAAGATCCATAAAGAAGGATCTATTCTGACAGACAGGTTTCTGGCCTTTTCACCTGTGCTAACTCTTTTTTTAAAACCAATCTTTCACTGTTATGCAGTGAACTGCATACTGCAACTGCTTGGTCTCTGTGAAGGAAAGATCCTCATGTAATCTTACCCCAGGATCCTTCTAGCTACGAGATAAATAGAGTTCCAAGAAGAATGTTTGCAGGGCTGAGAATTTTGTGAGATTATTAACTAGCACGTCAGCGAAATTACGAATTCTGGTTTTGCATCATGACTGAAAATCTCAAGTACTTTATATAAAATTCATTTGACAACCTAAGCCTAATTTACCATTCAGGCTGATAATTAATGAGCTGCAAACACTCATTTCCTGCCACGCATTAGCTGTTACCTCAGTCTTACATTTTAATTGGGCTTTCTTTCCCATCTCATTACTCAAATATTGATAAACTTTTTAACGTTTCTTTAGAGAAAAAAAAAGGTCAATAGGCAGTGACAGTTGCAATGACAATGGCAGAAACTCCAACAAGTAACAGCAGCCAGCATTTATGGAAGGTCCAGGCAAAGGGCTTCATATGCATTATCTCTTTTAATCCTCACAAACACATGAGACAGGAAGTGCTAACATCCTCATTTCACAGGGGAAGCTGGAGCACTTGGAGGGTAAGTAACATGCCCAAGATCAGACAGCTATTAAAAGATATAAGCAGGTCTGGAAGCCATGTTTGTCTGATTACAAAGCCCAGCACTAATGACACTGTGTTAGACAGAGACTCAGCATCTATGGTATGTAAAACCATTAAGATCGTAAAAAGAAATTTAAACAAAGAAGTATAAAAAGATTTTAATTTTAAATATAAACAAATAAATATAATTATACAAATAAGATGATATATTTAAAACAGATAATGTATTAAAGTATAACATAAATTTCAAATATAAAAATAGGTTAAACTATTTAAGTAATATATTTTACTGAATTCCTCTGTATCTCCTAGTTTTATGGTGAACACGAGGCTCTCCTAATTTTTGTAGTGCTAGAGGAGGAATATGCTCAGTATGGAAAGTGGTTAGCATCTATCACACTGAGTAATAATCTTTCAATATTTTTGTTAATCTGAATGCCCAGGATTATTGCATGGTATTAGAATCAGAATATGATTATCTAAAATGGTCATTTGTCTTTCTAGATGCTGATTTCCAATGATATAACATAAAATCCACCTAACAGCTGCTTTCTCTCATTTTTCTGACACAGGCCACATAATCATCCTCACAGCATCAGTAACAGTTCCAGTTCCAAGCATTACCATAGCAACAGCTTTTAGAAAATGGAAACTAGTATCAGTGAGCAGTGACCTGATACCATAGTAATAATTCATCCATGTCATAGAATCTTCTTCCTTTACACACTTGCATTGATTTTAGTTTGATTTTTGCAAATTGGTTTGGCTCATAACACTTTCCTGAAAGTGTTTTCATTTTTCACTAAGGTTTTAGTGACCATTTAGTCTAAAAGGATCTCGCTACTCAAGATAAAATCAAATCGCCTGGAAAAGCTAAGAGTGCGTTTTCATGTGGTCAAAGATTTTTATCACTTGACTTGGAAAAATAAAGCTACCAGACAAGCATGACACATAAATATTAGTTTGCTGGTTCTCATCTTATATTCATTTGTATTTTATATTTAAAGATGATTATTACTTAGAAATATAAAGATACAGCAAATATTTAATTTGCTGATTCATAACAGCCCTGGACATAGAAGATGTGATTCCTCCTTTGTTGAAGAAATTAATATACATATTAAAATAATATACATATTCATCCTTCTCAGATGACATTCTACTAAACTGGGTTCAGGATATTTGAATTAATTTTTCAAGGTCTTGAGAGAACTTTTACCTTTTGATGAAGCATATAAGGTAAGAGTGCCTCTTATCATTTAAGGTCAATTTATAGCTGCAATAAGGCAATTATGACTGAATAACATGAAAGGACTATTTAAGACACATCTGGGTCAAGGTTTTTCTATTTTGCTTCTTCTCAACTGCTTCTAGCATTTCACTTATATCTGTATACATGATTTCTCCTAATTTGGGAAAAAAAAAAACCCTATGCCCCCGTAATTAAAAAAAAAATTCAGTATTGTCCTTTCACTACATCAATTAGGTCACATCCCTGATAATACTGTCACAATATAAGCTGGATGCAAACTGAGCTACCAAGATTTATTCTATAGACTGAGATAAATAAATAAACCTGAAGCCTGGAAGAGTGATTCAAACTACCAAATTTTGAAAATAAATAAAATATTCATCATTTTTTAAAAAATGGCAATTTATACATGATTCCTAGCTAGTTTCATAAACCCCAGTGGGTGACTCAGAAAACTGGAATTAGAGGGAGGGACCCCATGACACAGGGGCCCTTACCTCCTGGAGGTGGCTTGCTCTTGGAAGTGAGAATGACAAATCCAAATCCTTCATTTTCTTTTCGTTGCAAGACAACATCATAGGGCTCCTGGGAAGCAGGCCTGGCCAGGGCCTCTGCTCGGTTCAAGCGGGGAGATCCATTTTGCGTTGAAAGGAAGGCTTGAGAGCTGTCATCCTCAGGTTGCTTCTCTGCAATAAACAAGATCAATTTTGATATTTCTGGAACATCGTAACTTTTGATAACTAAAGTGTTTTGTGCTAAGCTCTTCACAAGAACACTGAGTTTCTAACATAAAGAAAAGCAGTGCCTCTGCCCAAGGGACTCTGGACACCATCTGAGTGCAGAGGTAGGCAGCAGCCCATCCAGTGGACTTCTAGAATGCTCTTTAAGTACATAGTTGGAAAACTACAAAATGTTATCTCACTCTAAAGGAAGTTTTTCAAAGCTTCTGTGAAATTTGATGGTAAAAAAAATTCTTGAAATGATTTTAATTCCAGCCAGATTTTGAACCTGGACAAGAAATTTTTTAAACAGTTAATAATGAATAACAACACAGTAAATTTCCTCTTAAAATCAGCTTTAAATATAATTTAGTGGGACTTCCCTGGCAGTCCTCCAGTATTCTTGCCTGGAAAATTCCCTGGACAGAGGAGCCTGGCTGGCTACAGTCCATGGGGTCACAAAGAGCTGGACACAACTGAGCACTCCCCCCGCCCCCACACACACACTGAATCCTGGTGGTCCAGAGGTTAAGACTCCACGCTCCCAACCCAGGGGACCCGGGTTCACTCCCCGGTCAGGCGGCTAGATCCTACATGCCACAGCTAAGACTCAGTGCAGCTAAATAAATAAACATTTAATAAAAATATATAATTTAGTGCAGTGACTGACACTCATGACGTCTGGGAGGTCACTGCATCAGGACAGAGATACTTCCCATTACAACTTGAGAGCAGTTTGCCAACTACACAGATTCATCTTTTACAATGTGTTTTACAACTGCAGTTTTCTGATGGGTAATACAAGATGAGTTAACCATTAGCAGTTCTCAGGCATATAACAAGCTGTCCACATAAATGGCAAACTCTCCTAGACACAGATCAGGTCACATGGAATTCCTAGCAAATAGGCAGTTAACCTACACCCTTTTCTTCTATTTAAGAATAACATCAGAATTTGAGAAAGAATGACAAAAGTTAGTCATAACTGATTTTTAAAAAAGGGCAAATTTTGTGCCATAATTTGATACAAAACAGCATAAACCACCACCACCACATGCTGTTATTGATGAACATTCATTTATAAGGTCTCTTTGTATCAAAATCTATGGGATTCTGAGGATGTGTTTTTGAATCTCAACAAAAGTGTCAATAACTTCCAATAATTAACAACAACAAAAAAGGTTCTTTTTGATATAATGCATGGTTAGAATGAATTAGCTAAAATGTCTCCAATAATATCAAACTACTACGAAACATCTTTATGATGCTTTCCAGGAGGGAGCTAATCTCTATCTGTACAACATCCCATTGTTTACTCTATGTAGTTATGTTCTGACACCAGCACAACCAAATGGAAGCAACACAGCATTAGAACCGCACGCATCTCAGAATGCCTGACATTCATGACAGGAGGTGGACTTTTACTTTGGATGCTACAATCAAAAACACAGGGCCTCATTTTTAAGAGTAACATGAATATTCTTCAAGTCACACATTTTTTGAATGCCCACTCTGTGCCATGCGGTCATTCTTCCAGGTACTGGGTACACAGCATAGAACTAAATGGATGAAAATTCCATCCTTCATGAAGCTTACATTCTGGTGGTGCTACAGGCTGTCTTTAAAAAATTTTTAAGTGACAAGAATTCACTTTTAAAAATTTCTACATAATATTCACAAAGCTATTGAACATAAAAATACAGGAGATTATCATACCTTAGTGCAATGGTTTAGACCTCAGGCTTTGTAATTAAATTATCTGTTTCAATCCTGGTCCTACTACCTACCAGCTATGTGTTTCTCAGCCTTTCTGTGAGTAACTAGAATAATGACAGTGTTTATCATCATAGTGTTGTAAAGAGTAAGTAAAAGAATCCATGTCTGAGACTCAATAAATGTCATACTAAAACTTCTGAAGTAGAAACATTTTGTCCTCTGAATATTTAGAATTTCATCAGGATCCAAAATTGTTTGATATTCAGTTAATGGGATCTCTTAGTATGACTAAACAACTTTGCATTTGTTCTTCAGAAAACAGATTTAACCTGATATCCTGATTATAATATCACACTGGCAAAATTCATTGATATATTAATATAATCTTAATGTAGAGACCCAAAATTTATTTCTCTTTTTTGATAGTAGTAGCAGTATTTATGAATCCTTTCAACCTTACATGGCCTTCCACATGCAAGGATCACACCAAATAAGTTATCTCATACACTATTTTTGTTGTTGTCATTGTTTTAGGTAAGAAGTGGATTTAGTCAAAGAAACATTTCACAGACACAGTGTGGGTCATCGCAGAGGGCTAGCGCAGCCTCTCATACACTATTAAACGTAATAAAATAACCTGCAAAAAAAAAAAAAGTAGACTAAGTCTCTTTGTTTCTTTTTTAACTTATCAGAGCAAGAACACGTTCACGTACCACCGTAGAAGATCTTTCTTCTGACAGTTAATAACACGTGGCCATTTCGAGCAGCGGTTGTCATTAGGTCTAGGACTTGTTTGTGTGATTTCCCTTTAACAGGAATTCCATCAATGCACATCAGCTCATCAGCTGCACGGAGCCGACCATCTTTCTCAGCTGCGCCCAGAGGAATGATGGCTCCAATGTATATCTGATAAGATATAAAGTGTGGGTTGCTCTATACAGTCTACTAAGACTTACTAAGATTCTTAACTACTAAGTCAAGGACTTTCTGACTCAAAACCATGCATACCAACAAATTTTTGCAGTTCACCCTGAAAACAGTCATAGTTTAGAAAGGTGAAATCTTAGAAATTGACCCGTCTCCAAAATGGCACTTCAAATAACCACACCATGTAATCTCTTCTGGATTCTTTCGGTTGGGCACAAGGAAGACAGAAAATACAAAGTAATTCAATAACTTAGAAAGTACCACTATCACATCCATCACTACAACAGAACAAAAATATTAAACTCAAAAAATGCAATTCTGTGGAGTAGCTACTAAAAGTAAAGTCCATTGAATGTCATCACAAAAGATTTTTTTTTTGTATACTGTTCATAGCAACTGGGATAATTCTTACAATACTCCCGTTACATAAGGCTATCAGTTCAAGTTTAGTATATAGAAAAGAGAAATATTTCTTGTTCCTAAATTCTAAAGCAGTACATATTTTAAGGGAACAGAGTGACCTAAGATTCACTTGCAACTAGGTGAACAGATCTTGCTCATTTTCTTTGCCAGCAATTAGAATCTTATAATTGGTAATCCTAAGTATTTGGACTAGTTCCAGAGCTGTTATAACCTGACATTTAAGAGAAGATAAAGTGTAAACATTTCCTCTAAGATCAGGAGCAAGACAAGGATACCCACTCTCAATACTTTTATTCAACATACTTTTGGAAGTCCTAGCTATAGCAATCAGATGAGAAAAAGAAACAAAAGGAAGACAAATTGGTAAGAAAGAAGTAAAACTCACTGTTTGCAGATGATGTGATTATATGTGGAAAATCCTAAAGACATCACCAGAAAATTCCTAGAGTTCATCAATGATTTTGCTAAAGTTGCAGGGTACAAAAAAATCTACAGAAATCTGTCATATTTCTATACACTTAATTAAGGAAATAATCCTATTTACCACTGCATCAAAAATAATAAAAATACCTAGAAATAAACCTACTTAACAAGGTAAAAGACCTGTACTTGGAAAACTATAAGTCACTAATGAAAGAAATTAAAGATTACACAATCAGATGGAAAGATACATCATGCTATTGGGCTGGAAGAATTAACATTGGTAAAATGACCATGTTACCCAAGGCAATCTATAGATTCAATGCAATCCCTATCAAAATGTCAACAGATTTTTCACAGAACTAGAACAAAAAAAATGTAAAATTTGTATGGAAACAGAAAAAAACACAAATAGCCAAAACAATCTTGAGAAAGAAGAGAGCTGGAGGAATTGCATTCCTTGACTTCAGACTGTAACACATAGCTACGGTAATCAAAACAACATGGTATTGGTACAAAAATGAATATATACATCAATGCAACAGAATAAAGAGCACAGAAATAAACCCACACACTTACAGTCAATTAATCTACAACACAGGAGGCAAGAACATACAATGGAAAAAAGACAGTCTGTTCAGTAAGGGGTGCTGGGACAACTGGATAGTTACATAAGAAGAAGGAAAGTTAGAACATTCTCTAACATCATATACAAAAATAAATTCAAAATGAATTAAAGACCTAATTGTAGGACCAGATACTATAAAACTTTTTAGAGGAAAACATAAGCAGAACACTCTTTGACATGAATTGTAGCAACATCTTTTTGGATCTGTCTCCTAGAGTAATGACAATAAAGGCAAAAATAAATGGGACATAAATAAAAGCTTTTTCATGGCAAATAAAACCATAAGCAAAATAAAGACAACTCTCAAAATGGGAGAAAATGTTTGGAAACAAAGCAACTGAAAAGGGTTTAATCTCCAAAATATATAAACAGCTCATGCAGCTTAATTTTAAAAAAAAAATCAAAAAATGGGTGGAAGATCTAAATAGATATTTCTCCAAAGAAGACATAGAGATGGCCAAGAGGCATATGAAAAGATGTCAACATCATTTATTATTAGAGAAATGCAAATCAAAACTACAATGAGTATCACCTCACACTGGTCCAAATGGCCGTTATCAAAAAATCTACAAACAATAAATGCTGAAGAGGATGTGGAGAAAAGGGATCCCCCCGTCCTACTGTTGGTGGGAATGAAAATTGGTACAGCCACTATGGAGAACAGTATGGAAGTTCCTTAAAAAACTAAAAACAGAGCTCTCATATGATCCAGCAATCCCACTCCTGGGTATAAACCTGAAAAAAAAAAAAACCACAACTCAAAAAGACACATGCACCCCAATGAATACTGTATCATTATTTACAACAGCCAGGACATGGAAGCAACCTAAATGTCTGTCAACAGACAAGTGTATAAAGCAGATGTGGTAAATATATACACTAGAATATTACTCAGCCATAAAAAATGAAATAATGCCACTGGCAGCAACATGAATGGACCTAAAGACTGTTATACTGAATGAAGTAAGTCAGACAGAGAAGGACTAATACCATATGAGATTGCTTATGTGTGGAATGGAAAAAAAATAGTACAAATGAACTTATTTACGAGACAGAAATGTGTGCATGTGTGTTCAGTCCTTTGAGTTGTATCTGACTCTTTGAAACCCCACAGACCGTAGCCCACCAGGCTCCTCTGTCTATGGGATTTTCCTGGCAAGAATACTGAAGTGGGTTGCCATGCCCTCCTCCAGAGGACCTTCCTGACCCAAGAATTGAACCTGCGTCTCCTGCATTGCAAGCAGATTTTTTACTGCTGAGCCATCAGGGAAGCCCACAAAACAGAAACAGAACCACAGATATAGAAAATAAACATATTGTTACTGGGGAAAGGGGAGGAGGATAAATTGAGAGATTGGGATTGACATATACATAGTACTATAGGGAACTCTACTCAACACTCTGTAATGACGTACATGGTAAAAGAATTTTAAAGAGAGTAGACCTCTGTGTGTGCGTGCGCACGCGTGTGCATGCACGTGCACATATAAAACTGATTCACTTTGCTGCACACCTGAAAATAACATAACATTGAAAATCAACTATACTTTAATAAAAAGATTTTTTAAAATAACAAAAGAAAGACCAAATAGGTAAATATGTCTCAGAAATCACAATGATATAAAGAGAAATGCATTAAATTAAAACTAAAAAATTAATTAACTTAAAAGCTTCTGCACAAAAAAAGGAGACCATAAACAAAATGAAAAGACAAACTATGAATGGGGAGAAATTTTTGCAAATGATGAGTCCAACAAGGGATTAATTCCCAAAATATATAAAAGCTCATACAGCTTAATATCCAAAAAACAAATGACCCAATTAAAAAATGGGCAGATGTGAATAGACATTTTTCCAAAGGGAACATGCAGATGGCCAAGAGTCACATGAAATGTTGCTCAACATCGCTAATCACCAGGGAAATCAAAACCATAACGAAGTATAACCTCATACCTGTCAGAAATGTTATCATCAAAAAATCTACAAATAACAAATGTTGGTAAGGATGTGGAGGAAAGGGATCTCTTGTACACTGTTGGTGAGAATGTAAATTGGTGCAGCCACTGTCAAAAACAGTATGGAGGTTTCTCAAAAAACTAAAAAATGGCATACATATACATACAATATAACACTACACAGGCATATAAGGAATGAATTTTTGCCACTTGAAACAATATGGATGGAACTGACTCAATAAGAGCAGCAAAAAGAAAAAAACAAACAAACAAACGATGAAAAAAAGCAAAGATAGCCCAAGATACCTACGCAATGACTTCAAGCAGAATAACGTTCATATTATAGGAGTACCAGAAGGAGAAAAGAGAGAGGAAGGAGCAGAAAACTTAACTTAAAGAAATAATGGCTGAAAACTTCCTTAACCTGGGAAAAGAGACAGAATTGCAGATTCTGGAAGCCCAGAGAATTCCCAAAAGATCCTCACAGAGACACATTGTAACTAAAATGTCAAAAGTTAAAGAGAGAATTTTAAAAACAGCAAGAGAAAAACAACTTGTTACCTACAAAAGAAAGTAGAAATTTTGCTCAGTCCAGTCTGATTCTTGCAACCCCATGGATTATACAGGCCAGAATACTGGAATAGATAGCCTTCTCTATCAGATCTTCCTGAATCAGCAATCAAACTGCGGTCTCCTGCATTGCAGGCAGATTCTTTACCAATTGAGGTATCAGGGAAGCCCAAAATTTCAGCACATTAGAAATAATATCATTAAATGCATACTTTGTGCTATTCTTAGTTGCTCAGTCATGTCTGACTCTTTGCGACCCCATAGACTGTAGCCCACCAGGCTCCTCTGTCCATGGGGATTCTTCAGGCAAGAATACTGAAGTGGGTTACCATTCCCTCCTCCAGGGGATCTTCCTAACCCAGGGATCAAACCCAGGTCTCCCGCATTGCCCGCAGATTCTTCACTGAGCCACCAAGGAAGCCTTTGTTATAAGCAGGAACTCCTATAAGACTATGAGCAGATTCTTCAGCAGAAACTTTGCAGGCCAGAAAGGAGTGGAATGATATATTCAAAGTGCTGAAAAGAAAAATATGTCCAACCAAGAATACTCTACACAGGAAAATTATCATTCAGAACTGAAACAGATGACAGTTTTCCAGACAAGCAAACATCAAAGAAGTTCATCACTAATCAACTGGCTTTATGAGAAACGTGAAAGGGGCTTCTTTAGTTGAAAAGAAAAGGCACTGAGTAGTATAAGAAAACATATGAAAGTATAAATCTCAAGGGCAAGATAAATATAATCATTTACAAAACTACTATAAAAAGGTTAAAAGACAAGTAGTAAAAATAACTATAGCTAGAATAATCAGTGAAGGGATACACGAAATAAAAAGATGTGAAGTGTGATATCAGAAATATAAAATGTGGTGGAGGAAGTAAAAATGTAGCTTTAGCATGCGTTCAAACTTAAGTTGCTATCAACTTAAATTAGACTGATATATGTATATAAACTGTTATATGTGAGTCTCAGGGTAACCTCAAACAAAAACCTATTGTAGATACACAAAAGATAATAAAAATAGAATCTAAGTATAATATTAAAGAAAGCCATCAAATTGCAAGGGAAGAAAGCAAGAGAAGAAGAACAGAGAAGAACTACAAAACAGCCAGAGAACAAAGAACAAAATGACAGTAAGTACATACCTGTCAAGAATTACTTTAAATGTAAAAGACTAAATTCTCCAATGAAAATACTCAGACTGGCCAAATGTACAAACAAGACCCATCTATATGCTGCCTATAAGAGACTAACTTCAGATGTAAGGAGCCACAAAGTCTGAAAGTAGAGGCATGGAAAAAGCTGTTCCATGCAAACAGAAACCAAAAGAAAGCTAAAGCAGCTATACCTACATCAGACAAAATAGACTTTAAAACAAAAACTGTAATAAAAGACAAAAAGGGCATTATATAATGATAAAGGAGTCAACTGAATAAGAGGATATAACATTTGTAAATGTTTATGCATCTAACACAGAAGCATTTAAAATATATAAAGCAAAGACCTAAGGGGGACCTATATAACAGACCTAAGGGGAGAAATTTACAGCAATACAATAATAGGAAGGAATTTTAATAACCCTATTTACATCAATGGATAGATCATGCAGACATAAAACCAATCAGGAAACATGGGTCTTAAATGACACATTAGAATGAATAACCTTTATATTGATAGATAGATAGATAGATAGATAGATAGAGTATACATTCAGAACATTCTATATATATTCACAACATTCTATCCAAAGTAGCATATTATATACATTCTTCTCAAGTGCACATGTAACACTCTTCAAGATAGATCACATGTTAAGCCACAAAACAAGTCTCAATAAATTTAAGAAGACTGAAATTATATAAAACATCTTTTTCAAACACAAGTACCTAAAACTAGAAATCAGAAGAAGAAAATTGGGAAAATCACAAAATGTGAAGATTAAATTACATCTTAATGAACAACCAATGCATCAATGAAGAAATCAAGAGAAAAATAAAAAAATACCTTGAGACAAATGAAAATGGATATATAACTTGCGAAATCTCTGGGATAAGGAAAAGTAGTTCTAAGAGGGAAGTTCATAGTAATATAGGTCTACCTCAAAATAAGAAAAATCTCAAAGAGCTTTACATCTAAAGGAATTAGAAAAAGAATGAAAGAAGTCCAAAGTTAGTAGAAGGAAGTAAATAACAAAGATCAGAGCAGAAATAAATGAGATAGAGACTAACAAGACAATAGAAAGGATCAATGAAACTGAGCAGGCTATTTGAAAAAATAAACAAAACTGACAAACTCCTCGCAAGATTCACCAGAACAAAAGAGGGCTCAAAAATAAAATCAGAAATGAAAGAGAAGTTACCTTTGATACCACAGAAATACAAAGAATCATAAGAAACTACTATGATCAATTATATGCCAAAAAACTGGACAACCTAGAAAAAAATCAATGAATTCCTAGAAACATGCAATCTTTCAAGAGTAAATCATGAAAAGTAGAAAATCTGAACAGACCAATTACTAGTAAGGAGGTTGAATCAGTAATTAAAAATATCCCAGCACATGCAAGTCCAGGACCTGATGGCTTCACTGGTGAATTCTATCAAACATTTAAAGAATATTAATATCTATCCTTTTCAAACTCTTTCAGAAAACTGAGGAGGAAGAAACGTTTCCAAACTCATTCTATTAGGGCAGCATTACCCTGGGACCAAAACTGACGAGGACAACACAAAAAGAGAAAATTACAAGTCAGTGTCACTGATGAATACAGATGCAAAAATCTGCAAGAAAACATTAGCAAATTAAACTTAAAAATACATTAAAAGGACACATACACCATGATCAAGTGGAATTTACTCCAGGGATGCAAGAATATTTCAACATCCACAAATCAATGTGATACACCAAATTAACAAAATGAAGAATAAAAATATGATCATCTCAACAGATACAGAAAAAGCATTTAACAAAATTCAGCATCCATTTATAATAATTCTCAACAAAGGGAGTAGGGGAAACATGCCTCAACATAATAAAGGCCATATATGACAAGCTCAGGCTTCCAGGTGGCTCTGTACTGAAGAATCTCCCTGTCAATGTAGGAGATGTGGGTTCAATCTCTGCGTCAGGAACATCCCCTGGAGGAGGAAATGGCAACCCACTCCAATACTCTTGCCTGGAAAATCCCACAGTCAGAGGAGCCTGGTGGGCTACAGTCCACAGGGTTGCAAGGAGTTGGACATGGCTTAGACACTAAACAACAACCAACAACCATGACAAGCTCACAGATAACATCATAGTCAAAGGTGAAATGCTGAAAGCTTTCCTTCTAAGATCAGTAACAAGGCAAGGATGCCCACTTCCACCACTTTTACTCAATAGAGTACTGGAAGTCTAAGCCATAGCAATTAGGGAAAATAAACAAGGAAATACACATATCACATATTCTTTATACATACACACACCTACACACCCACTTACACATAAAATGGAATATTATTCAGCCAGATCACGTTAAGCCACAAATCAAGCCTCAATAAATTTAAGAAAACTGAAATTATATCACACATTTCCAACCATAATGGTATAAAACTAGAAATCAATTACAAGAAGAAAATTGGTCTTGCCATCTCCTGTTTGACCACTAAAAAAAAAAAAAGAAAATTGGGAAAATCGCAATGTAGTTTTAATCACAAAGCTTAAACTACATTAGAAAGAAAAAATCTTTGCAAGGCAACATAATGCCTTGAGGACATATGCTAAGTCAAAGAGTCAGACAGACAAAGACAAATGCTGTATAATCTCACTTATATCTGAAATCTAAAAAACAAAGTAAACAAACAAAACAAGACTCAGAAAGAACAGAATGGTGGTTGACAGTAGGAAGGGGATTGGGAGGAGGTAGGTACAAACTTCTGATTATAAAATAAGTAAGTCATGGGGATGTAATGCTGTAGCATGTGGACTATAGCCAATAATACTGTAGTACATAATTGAAAGTTGCCAAGGGAATAACTCTTAAAGGTTCTTATCACAGAGAAAAATCTGTCACTTTGTATGATGACGGATGGTAACTAAGCTTGTTGTCATGATCATTTTGCAGTGTATACTAACATTGAATCATTACATTGCACATCTGAAACAAATATAATGTTATACACCAATCATAGTTCAATTCAAAAGAAAGGAAAAGAAACAATCAAGGTACTTCATATTTGCCCTACATAGGGCAACCTACCTTAAGCTTTATTTGTCTCTGATAATTATTTCAACTGCAACCAATATGACTAATTAGAACACATTTATACTCTATAAATCAAATGTTCTAGTCAGAATAGAAAGAAGCCTATAATTTTAAAAGAATATTATTATTCACCTAATTTCCAAACATGATAATGTAGTCACTCATATTATACAAAAAAGCTTTAAATATGTTCTTAAACTCTAAGAAGCACATTATTTCTTTGTCAAACTAAGGGTAAAACAAAAATAAACCCACTATATTTGTTCTCTAAGTATGAGTGAGAATCATATATAAATAAATTTCTAGATTTAAATGCCTTGCAAATATAACCCGTTATTATGCTCTAATTTACAGCTGACTTATTCAGCTTTTACCTACAGTTTTAGCCTCAACTATTCAGATGGTAAAGAATCTGTCCTCAATGCAGGAGACCCGGTTCAATCCCTGGGTCAGGAAGATCCCCTGGAGGAGGAAATGGCAACCCACTCCAGTATTCTTGCCTGGGAAATCCCATGGACAGAGGAGCCTGGTGGGCTACAGTCAGTCCATGGGGTCACAAAGAGTCGGATACAACTGCGCAACTAACACTTTCACATATCATGTTAACTGAGGTATTACGACACCACTAGAAATGCAATTCTTCCTCATGTTAGTGAAACTGTTAGAGAAAACAAAATCTTTTAAAAAACCAAACAAAGTAGAAAGCAAAACAAAAGCACCATATTCTACCAAATCACTATTAAAAGTTTTAACAGGAATAGCCAAATGACAACGTATTTAAACTTACAGATTGGTCAGGTCCATCTCCTCCCAGTACTCTGAAGCCAAACCCTGATTCCTGTTTCCGAAGAAACACATCCAAATCTTTGGTGTTTGGTGCTAAGGAAAACCAGAAAACAATAAATACAAACAAATATACACAGTACACACTTTATTTTAAAAAGTTTAACATTATAGAAAAACTCAAACATAAATCCTTGTTTTGTGCTTTAACTCAATCAAGATTGCTTAGGAATATTTATTCCCATTTCCACACACTCAGTATTATACTGCCATTAATTCTTCATGCTTTCAAATTGATGTTTTATCTTCCGAAATATGGTCTGGGACTATCAAGATAAACTGTGACTGGTTACATAAGTATGAAATCAATTATATATATTTCTACTTGTTGTGAATCTTTTCCAAGCTCAGTCATGTCTGACTTTGCAAACCCATGGACTGTAGCTCACCAGGCTCCTCCATCCATGGCATTTTCCTGGCAAGAATACTGGAGTGGGTTGCCATTTCCTTCTCCAGGAGATCTTCCTAACCCAGGGATTGAGCCCTGGGCTCCCACATTGTAGGCAGACACTTTACCATCTGAGCCACCAGGGAAGATGTTTAGATCTATTTCTAAAAGTAAATATATTCAAAAGTTAAACCACTTAAATCTACAATTGTGCTTCAGAAAAAAAAACTATCATCAGTTGGTAAATTAGTATGAAAATGAATTTCTGCCTTATGCACACTCTCTTCTCATCATCTGTCCACTGGACTCCTCTAAGGAGTCTACTCTACTCTCTGGTTTCCTCCTCAGATTACATACCCTTCTGATTCATCATCCTTTGTATTCCTGCCAAGAAAATCTTTCCAAAACACAAGCCCAATAACTTCATCCCTATAGTTAAGACCATTCTGTGGCTCTTTACCAGGTATATCATTGTCTCCAGCTTCCTCAGACTGGCATAATCCACTCCCCACCAGCTGCTCCTGCCCTCCCCTCTGGTATCCACTGCAGACCACACCCAGCTAAACTGAAACGAATTGCACAATTAAGGCAACGCAGTATGCAAATGCTATTCCTTCTTTCCCTTTCATCCGTCCTACAAGCAACTACCTCTTTGTCTTACAGCTTAACTTCCTATGTGAAGCAGTATATGATATTTCCTACTACTCTCATCAGTAAAACCGACCATTTTCTACTTTGGATCCCAACTCATCCAGCGTATCCTTCTATTACTGTACCTGTTAGGGGCTTATTTGTATATGTATTTGACTATTTCTTTGTCTTTTCCATTTAGGTTTAACTATCTCTTTGGATGCAGGGTCTATGTAACCTATTACCTCTGTACTCCCATTACCTACTATGATGTTGGGTAGATAGAGGCACATTTCAAAAACAGAGTTCAAAATATGGTTTTGAAGAAAACAAATGAATGAATGTTGAGTATGAATGGAAGAAGCCCAGAGCTACATTAAAATGGGAATGAATAACTTCAACATACTGGTTTCTAGAGATGGAAAAACAAAGTTTTTAAGAAAATTCAAATTAATGTTGTTGCATGCTTCCCTGAAATATTCCACAGCTACTTACGTTTATCTTCATATAAAGTCTTAGATTTCAGGTAGACCTCAGAAGGATCCAGTTTCGGGGATCCTGACCTGATAATGCTGGGTGGAAAAGGCATAGGCTGGGGAACAGGCTCATTTATGGCCTCCAAACTTTCTGAAGTTTCCTTTTTATCTGTTTTCTGAAATGGAAAAGGGCCTTACTTAGTATCTCAAAAAGCCAGATGGTTGATTAGTGCAAAAAACTGTTGTCTGAACCAGTATGTCAACTGATTACAGTTGCGTAAGCAGCAGGGTCAAAGCCACAGCATATTTGCAGTCTTAGCGGAGTTCACTTTCACAGTCATGTGTATTTGATTAAAACATATTTCACTTAAATTAGAACACGTTTATAATGATGTCAATCAAAGGGCCTTAAGTAGTCCTATGTTAAGGAATTTTGCCCTTTTTTCTACCACCAAGACATAAACTGACTCTGAGAAGACATACAAGACAGCACTTCTAAGCAGAGCAGGAGGAAGACTCAGAGAGGACCTCCATTTAATTCTTGATACCCTCACCTCCCCACTCACTGAATTAATTTCCAGTAAAGATGTTTAAGGAATATTCTTTCTAAGAAAATGAAATACGAAGTGTTAACTCTAATTTAGGTTGTAATGATGACACTGTGAAAACCTGCATGGTCAATTCAAATATATCATGAGAATGCTCCATGCCTAGGAATCAGATAAGGGGTATATTCATATGTTCCCATTCAGATAGACCTTGTCTAGAAGAATAGCTCAGCAAAATGACTTATTTAATAAAATTTAAAAATGAAATCCAATAAACAGCTTCAGAAAATAAATAGTACGGTTTAGAGAACAGCTTGTTATCCTGAATTATGGTTAGGAGAGGGAGATTATAGACATTTGTGATAAAATAATTAAAGTGACAGGATGCAGGAGCAGCAGCTTGTCAGGGAGGGCTGAGGGGACAGTTGTGCCAGAAGGGGCCCTTCACTGACCAGGACCCAGCCAGATGCCTGGGAGATAAGAGTAGCCTTTTCCTCTTTCTCCCCCTTGTCCTAGGATTCAGTCAGAAGCAGCGAGAGGTCATCAGAAACTCTCATCAATTATAAAGCATTAGGGTCCCCGTGGCCGCACTGGCATCCATTATGAAACACAGGGAAACACAGGAGTTAAAAACAATTACTAGAGGGCCCAGAGGAATGAAGAAAAATGCAGCATAATTTTAACTGAACATGTAAAAAGAATTTCTGTTCACACTGGACCTAAGGGGTACAGTCTATAAAAAGGCTGAGTGTTTCTTTCCTTCTGACACATAAAATGGCAAATTTGCAGAGGATCATTTTCAGGGGGCTATAGAGAACTAATCTATTTTGTATCTGATGATCTTTTGTTTAGCAGCCTATGATTTATGGTCATAGAAGACCATCTTTTAACTATAAGTTGATACATTCCAAATTAAGCAAACTAGAGCTAACAGGATTATATACCTAATTGTCTTTATATCCATATAACTGTAAACTTAAATATTTAAGTAGCTACACGTGTACCTAGCACAGTTTCTTTCATACCATTATCTGGTGCGCCCTTTGTTTGGGTCTTAGTCTTTACACAGGTCCTAAAGTAGGCTAGTCAGTTATTCAGAAGACCACTACAAAAAAAAGTGTTCCAAGTCTGACAGCCTGTTGGTCTGATAACAAGCAGACTGAGCAGAGAGGCCACAACTGCTCCAGCCCTGAACGTCAGAAGGTGAGCTAAACGTGGGTAATGACAGTCCCATGTGCTTATGGGAAACCACTACATATTCTCATTGCAGCAAGACATCTGCCCAAATGTTTAGCTACTCCTTACCCTTGCTCCTCTGAAACACAAAGAAAGCCAAAGGACCCATCAGTAGGCCCCTCAATGGGTCCACGTTTTACTATGTAGAAGGATCAGACTACTACAGGTCCCTAACATTTCTCCAACAGAAACACTTAACCAGCAGAGCACACTTCCGCTATAGATGGCTTTTTCTAACTTGCACACTTCCCTGAGTTTCTGTTCCAAGCCCAGGGCAGTCTGTCTTCTGACTCCTCCCGGTCTGTAAACATCCACCCCACGAGCAGCCCTCATGAAGTGAAACGCAGCATCTCTCTCTGTGTGTTGGAAAGAAGAATTTGAGGACAACTGCATACTCACCAATTTGGCAGTTTTAGTTGGTGAAGGAGGACCTTAAAAAAAATGAGCCACATTTTAAAAACAGAGGAAGGATTCCCAGACTACAAATACTGCTAATGTTTATGATAAAACTAGCTTTGACTTTTAGTAGGCTAGTAAATTATGTCCAACATGTTCTACATGCCAGGTATTATACACATATTTCATTTTTTATGACAATCTTAAGGCATACATGTTTGGCATTTTATAGATAAAGTAAAGCAAGACTCAAATAGATTAACATTACTTTCCTGTACTGTGGAATCAACCAGCAACTAGGCAGGAAACTGACATTCATTCAGCCTGTTTGACACAGAACCCTAGACGCTTACATCTGTTGGAACTCTGAATAACTCTCCAGCCCCCAGAAAGAGATCTGCACTTACTCTGAGCACATTATCACCCAGAGAAGAAACAAAAACAGTTCAAAGAAATGAGAATTGAAGTTAAATTGTTCATTTGCCTCAAAAATGAAAACTAACAGCCAGTGAGATACATGTGAATGGCTAAATTTTATTCTTTAAAATACTGGTCATTCATTGGTATGGGTTTAAGAAAGCCTGTTAAAATATAACTTTTTGATCAGTCCTTGGAACTGCATTTGTGTCTGGGAGCAGTTCAAGTCAGTTGATGACCTTGGAAAATAAAATTATATTTCTCTCACATGAGCACTGTGGGGTTTAATTAACATTTACTGGCAGATATTAAAGCTTAAGATAAAAGCTTTATGAGCACAAGCTATCATGACTGCTTTTACAGAACAGATTAACACACCATCCAACATTTTTACTTATTCACAGAGATGCTAGCTCTTTCAAAACATCCTTGGTACATTACAGAGGTCCAGATGAAGTACCACTGCTTGAAAGAGTCCATCTCTATTATTGCCATCAACAGAGAAAATGAAATTAAGAGGATATATTTCATCGGAAGTAGCACAATGCTATGACTCTGTCTAATCATTAAAGTTATAAATCAGATTTTAAAAACACAGAGGGAAAGAAATCTATAATGGACACAAATGAAACCACTAATAACTAAAAAAAAAAAAACTGCTACAAAAGATACTGCTTATGGAAGCAGTCAGACAGAACTTAAGGAAAATGCACACTAATTACCAGCTAAGTCTTCTGGGAAAGAGATATTCTGACCTGGAAGGAAGGACAATTCACAGATATAAATGCATGAACAATGAAGACTTTTCCCTGTGCTTTTACTCACCTCCTCTTAAGATAAGTAATGGTACATCTGCACCTACTGGAAACTGCTTTAGCACCTCTACCACTTGGAGATGTGTCAAATTCTGCACATTTTGATGGTAAATCTCCTTAATGATATCCCCTTTCTGTAGGCCTTGACACCATTGACTATCCAATATCATTTTCACCTTCTGTCCAGCTGGGCTGTCAGCAATTGCAAACCCAAAGCCTTTAGGGCCCTTGATCAGAGGGATAGTCACTAGTTCTGGCTGGGAGCTGACTGATGATGCCATAGATGCTCTCTGTTCACTCAGATCTGATGCTCCATTGAAACGATCACTGATCAAGCTGTGTCCCGATTTTCCATTCTGGTCCAGCACCACTGCTCCTGACTTAAAATCCTGAGTATTCAGGCAAGTCTCTCCCTTAGTTAATGACTGTCCATTGATGACAGGAGTAGCAGCAACAATGTCCACAACAGGATCTTCATTGTCATCAGGAAGCGGATACCCACGACATAGAGTGAGGTTTACATACTGATTGACAGGTACCAATTGAAACATCTGGACAACATCTGCATGTGTGTGACCAAGGACACAGTTGCCATTGATGTCTACAATAACATCACCTGGTAAAACATAAAGCACATGAAAAATGTTAAAGCCATCAAATAAATCGATCTTTTGTTGGGGGAGATAAAAATAACTGAAATTTAGCATCTAAATTTGAATTCTGGAAACCTCTTACTGTTCATTAACTACTGAAAAAATAGATTTTGAACACAGACATGTCATTCTCCCTTCAGTGACTCCTCCCTAAAAAGAATATATAAACGTGTGTGTGTGTGTGTGTGTGTGTGTGACTCTTTGCGATCCCATGGACTGCCTGTCAGGCTTCTCTGTCCATGGAATTCTCCAGGCAAAAATATTGGAATGGGTTGCCATTTCCTACTCCAGGGGGTCTTTCCAACCCAGTGACTGAACCTATGTCTCCTGCGCTGGCAGGTGGATTCTTTACCACTTGAGCCACCTGGGAAGCCATATAAATGTATGCTTAGTGGCAAACAGTTACGACCTCAAGCTCAAGTGAATCTTAAAAAAAATTAATCTTAAAAAAATTCATATTATCCTTGTTAGTATATCCTTTGAGTGACACCAACGTGGGCACAGAAAGCTAGGTACATTGCAGTAGGTGTTGAGGACACAGACAAGGGGTGCACGAACAGACAGAACAGACATTCTTTAAATACAGCTTACTTCATGATTTTTAAGTAGCCATTGATTACAATGCACTTAAAAATTCATTCTAGTTTGAACAATGTAAGGTTAAAGATTAGAATAGTAACTTATGAATGTATTTCCTTTTCACATCTTTCTTTTTTGGAGAGACTTTCAATTTAGTGTAATTTAGTTATCAAAAGGAGAAATAAGCAACAAAAAAATTCAATACAAGTAAAGAACATATTAGTTAAGATTCTGAAAATTCAGCTGAATTAATCCTTATAAAAGCTGGTTTTACTTTCTTGATTTTACATCATTATGACCATTTTGGTTTTAGGATCTTTGCCACTTGACATTCATCAGTTGTGTGTTTTTTTTTAATGCAGTTTTGATTTTTAAAATTTGTCCTCTGATGTCTTATCCATTTGCTGCTTGTATGTGAGTATGATTATTTAAAAGGTTATTGCCAAATAAAGGTGCTTCAATTTGTTCTGATTGCATGTAGGCTTTAAAAAATCAACATGAACACTGTTTAAAAACAAATGTTAGCCTGTGGAAATTCACTTCAAAATTCAAGAAGATAAAGACATTAAACTAATTAGAAACAAAGCTTTGACTTTTCCTCCCCTAGTCAAAGTTCTCTGAATTTTTATGGAAGTATCATATTGCTTTACAAATTAATAACACTGTTAGACAAATCTAAATCTATACCATAAAATCCTGACAGCATATATAATAGTTTTGAGATGTGTTTCATGGACAAAAATATTTTAAAAGTCAAAACTGAGGACTTAGGACAAAACCTTAATTTTAATCTCCAGAGTTTGTTGATTTTATAAAGTAATAAATTAGAAAAATAATTTTCTTTATAAACATAACTTTTAATTATTTTATTTTTTTTAACTTTTCATTATTTTAAGTTTTCTAGTTTAAATTTCTATCACCTAATTCGGGAAGCATAATATGAGAGATCCCATATTCTAATTGAAAATAAGTTGATACCCGCCATCAAAAGTAATATGACAACTGAATCATCCAAATGGAGAATGTATTTACACATAGTATGTGAAATAACAGAGGATTAGAAAAGCCTAGCAAATAGTGTAAGAAGCAGCCTCAGTGGATTATTAAAATCTTCTGGAAAAAAAGTATTTAAACCTTCCTCATAATCAGTAACTACTCTTAAACTTCTCTAACCTACAGCCATAAACAGTCGCTCACATAAAGATGTTAAGAAAACTACATAAAAGACATATTTATACAGCTCTGTAAAAATAATAACATTATTGTCTATAATTCTTTTTTTCCCATTTTTTCTTTTCCTTTTTTTTTGTATTCTTTTTTCTTTTTTTAGCTTTATTGTCTGTAATTCTTAACATAGTGGCTTAACTTTACTAATAGCCACTAAGAAAGAAAAAAAACAAAGAAAAAGGGCCAACCTGGTGGAAAAATGTGGGGTATACCAACTGGTTCAGTATCACTGCAAACATCACAATCAGTCACTGTTCAAAAAGGTTACAGGTAAATGTTAAATAACTTCAAAAGTACCCTATACAATCACAGAAAATCAAACAATCAAATAATTTTCTGAGATGGTTAATAAATCCTTAGCTTAGTATAGCCAAAGGGTTATCTCAAATTATACAGACTATACAAAATATTAATAAATGACCCTCCCTCAAAACTACAATTTACTTAATTTAGAAGATAAACTATTTTATTTTATTTATTTATTTTTTTTAGGTTTTATTTTATTTTATTTTATTTTTTTTTCATTTATTTTTATTAGTTGGAGGCTAATTACTTTACATCATTGCAGTGGTTTTTGTCATACATTGAAATGAATTAGCCATGGATTTACATGTATTCCCCATCCCGGTCCCCCCTCCCACCTCCCTCTCCACCCGATCCCTCTGGGTCTTCCCAGTGCACCAGGCCCGAGCACTTGTCTCATGCACCCAACCTGGGCTGGTGATCTGTTTCACCCTAGATAATATACATGTTTTGATGCTGTTCTCTTGAAACATCCCACCCTCGCCTTCTCCCACAGAGTCCACAAGTCTGTTCTATACATCGGAGTCTCTTTTTCTGTTTTGCATATAGGGTTATCATTACCATCTTTCTAAATTCCATATATATGTGTTAGTATACTGTAATGGTCTTTATCTTTCTGGCTTACTTCGCTCTGTATAATGGGCTCCAGTTTCATCCATCTCATTAGAACTGATTCAAATGAATTCTTTTTAATGGCTGAGTAATATTCCATGGTGTATATGTACCACAGCTTCCTCATCCATTCGTCTGCTGATGGGCATCTAGGTTGCTTCCATGTCCTGGCTATTATAAACAGTGCTGCGATGAACATTGGGGTGCATGTGTCTCTTTCAGATCTGGTTTCCTCGGTGTGTATGCCCAGAAGTGGGATGGCTGGGTCATATGGCAGTTCTATTTCCAGCTTTTTAAGAAATATCCACACTGTTTTCCATAGTGGCTGTACTAATTTGCATTCCCACCAACAGTGTAAGAGGGTTCCCTTTTCTCCACACCCTCTCCAGCATTTATTGCTTGTAGACTTTTGGATAGCAGCCATCCTGACTGGTGTGTAATGGTACCTCATTGTGGTTTTGATTTGCATTTCTCTGATAATGAGTGATGTTGAGCATCTTTTCATGTGTTTGTTAGCCATCTGTATGTCTTCCTTGGAGAAATGTCTGTTCAGTTCTTTGGCCCATTTTTTGATTGGGTCATTTATTTTTCTGGAGTTGAGCTGGAGGAGTTGCTTGTATATTTTTGAGATTAATCCTTTGTCTGTTGCTTCGTTTGCTATTATTTTCTCCCAATCTGAGGGCTGTCTTTTCACCTTGCTTATAGTTTCCTTTGTTGTGCAAAAGCTTTTAAGTTTCATTAGGTCCCATTTGTTTATTTTTGCTTTTATTTCTAAAATTCTGGGATGTGGGTCATAGAGGATCCTGCTGTGATTTATGTCAGAGAGTGTTTTGCCTATGTTCTCCTCTAGGAGTTTTATAGTTTCTGGTCTTACATTTAGATCTTTAATCCATTTTGAGTTTATTTTTGTGTATGGTGTTAGAAAGTGTTCTAGTTTCATTCTTTTACAGGTGGTTGACCAGTTTTCCCAGCACCACTTGTTAAAGAGGTTGTCTTTTTTCCATTGTATATCCTTGCCTCCTTTGTCAAAGATAAGGTGACCATAGGTTCATGGATTTATCTCTGGGCTTTCTATTCTGTTCCATTGATCTATATTTCTGTCTTTGTGCCAGTACCATACTGTCTTGATGACTGTGGCTTTGTAGTATAGTCTGAAGTCAGGCAGATTGATTCCTCCAGTTCCATTCTTCTTTCTCAGGATTACTTTGGCTATTCGAGGTTTTTTGTATTTCCATACAAATTGTGAAATTATTCGTTCTAGTTCTGTGAAAAATACCGTTGGTAGTTTGATAGGGATTGCATTGAATCTATAGATTGCTTTGGGTAGTATAGCCATTTTGACAATATTGATTCTTCCAATCCATGAACACGGTATATTTCTCCATCTGTTTGTGTCCTCTTTGATTTCTTTCATCAGTGTTTTATAGTTTTCTATGTATAGGTCTTTTGTTTCTTTAGGTAGATATACTCCTAAGTATTTTATTCTTTTTGTTGCAATGGTGAATGGTATTGTTTCCTTAATTTCTCTTTCTGTTTTCTCATTGTTAGTGTATAGGAATGCAAGAGATTTCTGTGTGTTAATTTTATATCCTGCAACTTTACTGTATTCGTTGATTAGCTCTAGTAATTTTCTGGTAGAGTCTTTAGGATTTTCTATGTAGAGGATCATGTCATCTGCAAACAGAGAGAGTTTCACTTCTTCTTTTCCTATCTGGATTCCTTTTACTTCTTTTTCTGCCCTGATTGCTGTGGCCAAAACTTCCAAAACTATGTTGAATAGTAGTGGTGAGAGTGGGCACCCTTGTCTTGTTCCTGATTTCAGGGGAAATGCTTTCAATTTTTCACCATTGAGGGTGATGCTTGCTGTGGGCTTGTCACATATAGCTTTTATTATGTTGAGGTATGTTCCTTCTATTCCTGCTTTCTGGAGAGTTTTAATCATAAATGTATGTTGAATTTTGTCAAAGGCTTTTTCTGCATCTATTGAGATAATAATATGGTTTTTATCTTTCAATTTGTTAATGTGGTGTATTACATTGATTGATTTGCGGATATTAAAGAATCCTTGCATTCCTGGGATAAAGCCCACTTGGTCATGATGTAAGGCAGGAGACTTAAGCCCAAATCTTGAGAAAACCAGAAAACTCCTGACTACACGGAACATTAAGGAATAAGAGACCATCCAAAAGCTTCCATACCTACACCAAAACCAACCACCACCCAAGAGCCAATAAGCTCCAGTACAAGACATACCACGCAAATTCTTTAGCAACGCAGAAACATAGACCTGAGTGTCAACATACAGGCTCTCCAAAGTCACACCTAACACATAGATCCATCGCAAAACTCATTACTGGACACTCCATTGCACTCCAGAGAGAAGAAATCCAATTCCACGCACCAGAACGCTGACACGAGCTTCCCTAACCAGGAAACCTCGACAAACCAATCGTCCAACCCCACCCACTGGGTGAAACCTCCACAATAAAAAGGAACCTCAGACCACAAGAATACAGAAAGCCCACTCCAGACACAGCAATCTAAACAAGATGAAAAGGCAGAGAAATACCCAACAGCTAAAGGAACATGAAAAAAGCCCACCAAGTCAAACAAAAGAGGAGGAAATAGGGAATCTACCTGAAAAAGAATTTAGAATAATGATAATAAAAATGATCCAAAATCTTGAAAACAAAATGGAGTTACAAATAAATAGCCTGGAGACAAAGATTGAGAAGATGCAAGAAATGTTTAACAAGGACCTAGAAGAAATAAAAAAAAGTCAATTAAAAATTAATAATGAAATAAATGAGATCAAAAACACTCTGGAGGGAACCATGAGTAGAATAACAGAGACAGAAGATAGGATAAGTGAGTTAGAAGATAAAATGGTGGAAATAAATGAAGCAGAGAGGAAAAAAGAAAAAAGAATCAAAAGAAATGAGGACAACCTCAGGGACCTCTGGGACAATGTGAAACGCCCCAACATTCGAATCATAGGAGTCCCAGAAGAAGAAGACAAAAAGAAAGGCCATGAGAAGATACTCGAGGAGATAATAGCTGAAAACTTCCCTAAAATGGGGAAGGAAATAGCCACCCAAGTCCAAGAAACCCAGAGAGTCCCAAACAGGATAAACCCAAGGCGAAACACCCCAAGACACATATTAATCAAATTAACAAAGATCAAACACAAAGAACAAATATTAAAAGCAGCAAGGGAGAAACAACAAATAACACACAAAGGGATTCCCATAAGGATAACAGCTGATCTATCAATAGAAACCCTTCAGGCCAGAAGGGAATGGCAGGACATACTTAGAGTAATGAAAGAGAATAACCTACAACCTAGATTACTCTACCCAGCAAGGATCTCATTCAGATATGAAGGAGAACTCAAAAGCTTTACAGACAAGCAAAAGCTGAGAGAATTCAGCACCACCAAACCAGCTCTTCAACAAATATTAAAGGATCTTCTCTAGACAGGAAACACAGAAAGGTGGTATAAACGTGAACCCCAAACAACAAAATAAATGGCAACGGGACCATACCTATCAATAATTACCTTAAATGTAAATGGGTTGAATGCCCCAACCAAAAGACAAAGGCTGGCTGAATGGATAAAAAAGCAAGACCCCTATATATGCTGTCTACAAGAGACCCACCTCAAAGCAAGGGACACATACAGACTAAAAGTGAAGGGCTGGAAAAAAATATTCCACGCAAACGGAGACCAAAAGAAAGCAGGAGTCTCAATACTCATATCAGATAAAATAGACTTTCAAATAAAGGCTGTGAAAAGAGACAAAGATGGACACTACATAATGATCAAAGGATCAATCCAAGAAGAAGATATAACAATTATAAATATATATGCACCCAACATAGGAGAACCGCAATATGTAAGGCAAACGCTAACGAGTATGAAAGAGGAAATTAATAGTAACACAATAATAGTAGGAGACTTTAATACCCCACTCACAACTATGGATAGATCAACTAAACAGAAAATGAACAAGGAAGCACAAACTTTAAAGGACACAATGGACCAGCTAGACCTAATTGACATCTATAGGACGTTTCACCCCAAAACAATCAACTTCACCTTTTTCTCAAGTGCACACGGAACCTTCTCCAGAATAGATCACATCCTGGGCCATAAATCTAGTCTTGGTAAATTCAAAAAGATTGAAATCATTCCAGTCATCTTTTCTGACCACAGTGCAGTAAGATTAGATCTTAATTACAGGAAAAAAATTATTAAAAATTCAAACATATGGAGGCTAAACAACACGCTTCTGAATAACCAACAAATCATAGAAGAAATCAAAAAAGAAATCAAAATATGCATAGAAATGAATGAAAATGAAAACACAACAACCCAAAACCTATGGGACACTGTAAAGGCAGTGCTAAGGGGAAGATTCATAGCATTACAGGCCTACCTCAAGAAACAAGAAAAAAGTCAAATAAATAACCTAACTCTACACCTAAAGCAACTAGAGGAGGAAGAAATGAAGAACCCCAGGGTTAGTAGAAAGATAAACTATTTTAATATAGGAATCTACCTCTTGGTTGTATAATTTCTTTCTCTCTCTCTCTCTACACACACACACACATACACACACAAAATACATATATGATATATATTTATATAGCTATTATATATTTGGTATATATGTAATATATACATATAAAACATTTTCACTATAATTTTTGTTATAGGATCACAACTCTTTAAGTACTTTTCTTTTTTAAAAAATTTTTTGCCACGCCATATGACACTTGTGAGATCTTAGTTCCCCAACCAGCAATGGAACTCGTGCCTCCGGCAGTGAAAGCGGAGTCTTAAACACCGGACCACCAGGGAAGACCCCCTTTAAGTATTTCTGAAAAACCTGTTACCTGGTGCAATTTTCCCATCCTGAGCTGCAGGACCATCTTTCAGCACATTTTTCACTTGTAGGAACTCATCAGGCCTATCCCCACCAATAATGGTAAAACCAAATCCCATTGTGCTTTTCTTCAATGACGCTCGAACAAGGATGCCTTTAAGCTGGGATGGATCTCGAGTGAAGTGCGATTTTTCTGTATCTGCACAAAAATGAGAAAGACGAATAATTACAATGAATATACTCCTCAGAGCTAATTCCCAAGACAGTCTATATAATTTAAATACAACAAACCATAACAGAGAGAAAATAAGAGAGAATCCAATGTTATAGGACAGTTGGAATTTAAATTCATATACTAAATCACTGAAAAAAAAACTTAGCTAATGAATCATTTCTCTTTTATAGGACTCTTCTATGTCATTTGAAAGGTATAAAAACATCTATTTCATCTCCTTCTCATTGCCTTTTCTGTACTTACTTTTTCTAATCACAAAGAGTCCTTTAGATAGAAGTCAGAATGACACACCTGAAGGATAAACTTTATTATTAAAATCCTGAAAGCCTTGGGCACTCATTCGGATGTATATTTCATTTGAATAAGCAGTTACTGGAGCTCTATGTAGAAAACACTATACTAGGACATATACTATCACAAACTTATAAGAGAGAATACATTGGGAACTTTTTATAACCCATGACTCAGGCTTTCTGCAGCCTTTAACTTATATCTGATGAGTGGAGTGAACCCCTGCACTACTAGTAAATAGCTTCATGCTTCTTTCCCTTTTACCTGTGTTTAGTGGAAACTTTAGGAAGACAAAAAGCACAGTTTCACTGAAAAGCCTATTTTTAGGGGTTTCCTCAGATGATCCTAGCACTAAAAGTGATCCACATTTGCAAGTAATACCTGTCTTCTCTTTCCCAGAAAGTTTGCTCCACCTGGCTGCCCTTAGGGCACTTATGAAAACTGTGGGGATCAAATTGTACAGGTTCATACCTTAAAAAGCACTGTTTAAGTTAGCTTTTCAAAATATGGTTTAAATTTTTCTGACAAATCTCTTTTTTAACAGCTTTACTGAGACATAATCTACATATGAAGAATTATACAAGTCAATGACATGGTAACCATCACCACAATCTAACTTTAGCACAGTTTCTCTTTCCCCAAACACACACCAAAGAAATCTTGATGCTCATTAGCAGTCACTTCTCATTTCTCCCCAACCTGCCCTCACATCCTAACCTCAATCACTAAGCTACTTTCTGTCTATAGACATACCCAATCTGGACATTTAATATAAATGGAATTATATAATATGTGGTCTTTTGAATGGTTTATTTCACTCAGCATAATTTTTTGAGGTTCATCTGTGTTGTAGCATGTACTTTATTCCTTTTTTATTACCAAATAATATTCCATTATACAGATATATCACATTTTATTTATTCACTGATTTGTTGGGTTGTTTATACTTTTTGGATATTATGAGTAATATTGCTGTGAACACTCATGTACAAGATTTTGTGTAGGCAAATATGTTCATTCCTTTTAGGTACATATTGGGAATGGAAATGTAGCAGTTACCATGAACATATTAATATTATAACTATTTAATGTTCTGAAGGATTGCCAAACTTTTCCAAAGTGGCTGCACCATTTTACATTGCACCATCAATGTATAAGGGTTCTGACTGCTTCACACCCTTGCCAGCACTTGTCACTGTCTGCTTTTTTTTGGTTATAGCCATCCTAGTAGGCATAGAGTGGTCTTTCACGGTGGTTTTGATGCTCATTTCCCTAATGACTCAAATTCACAAGGCTGACTTGTTTCATATTGAGAGCACACTAATATCAAGCCCAGAGTTATCTTTGTGTATCTGCTGCTGCCCCTCTTAGCATGCATTAAAGCTTACAGGGTTTTAGAAAAGAGCAGGCCTCGGGCTGTTCTGTATGGCTGCATGGCCTCTGCAGTATGCACACGGCTACTGCAAGCAGCAGGGCTGTCCTGGAAGTACTGACAAAGGCAGGTTTGGGGCAGGAGTAGGTCTACTTTCTTTGTTATGTTCTTCCCAGATTTACTGATCTCTTATAAATACAAGCACTGGACATTTAAAAAAAAAAGAAGTCAGCTATTTCAGGCTTCTTCTCATGGCTACCTATCCTTGCAACGTCATCTCTTGTTTCTGCTATGCTCTGGTCATTCGTATCTGTTCTCTGACCCCTGGACCACCATTTCATGCTGCCATGATTTTATATATCCTGTTCCTTCTACTCAGTATGCCTTCTTGCTCCTCTAAAATTTTTATCTGCCTGATTTAGCTTTTACTGACCCTAGAAGACCCAGTTCAAATATGTCCTCTGTTTGAAAGTCCCCCTGCCCCTCAACTTCCTCCTTTAAGGCAAAGGTGAGCACTTCACCTTAAGAGGTAGGTACTGCTACTATTCATATTTTGTATTAATAGATGAGAAAACAAACATTTAAAAAACTCATCCAAGGTTACATAGCTGGGATTCAAACTTGCTCCGTCTCCCTGCACATTTAACTACTAACACAGGATGGCACCTATCAGCACATATTATAACCACCGGTTTCCTATTTTAGACTGTAAACTTTGAGGGTAAGACCTATCTTACTCTTAATCATTTTTTAATACCAGGTAACAAGGAAAGCACTGGGCATACAGAAGGTGCTCAAAAATATTGATTAATCTAAAAATATTTGCTCAATCAAATGTAAAACTTAAGGGAAGGGACTATGTTTTTGAAGAGGGGCTATAAGAAAAAACTGTTTCATCAGCAACTGAGTGAAGAATCTACTAGATTATGATGATATAGATCTTATTAATGACAGAGAAGGGGGAGGCAATGAAGAGGATGAGGAGGATGGAAGAAATTCCTGGACATCTTTTACAAAATACACATGGCTAGGATCATCAAAATCTTAGGACCCATGCATTTTAAAAATGCTCCTCAAATGATTCTGATATTACTAATACCCTACCATCCCAGTTGAGAATCAATGATATAGGCAAACGATATAGTGGATTTGCTCAGTATTTGTTCACATCAGTTAATAAAGAATCCTGAATGGTCACTGATGTTAAATCTAAGCAATTCACTTGTGAGAAGCTCATAATGAATCAAAGATCTAATATTGACTTGGCCTTAAACACTATAAAACAATCCAATTTACAAATTAAAACCTTGCAGCCATAACAAAGTTATTCAATCCCTTCTCCCAACAATTTCACACTTTCTATATAAGCAGCAAGAGAAAAAAAACTCAACATTCTCAAAATGGCCAGATGCTTTATTAAGATTATTCATATCTTTACAGTAACAAAAATTAAATAGTCTCTGTTGATTTTCAAAGCCCCAACAATTCAAAGTTCAAACTCACTTCTATTATTTCAGCATATAAATGTCACAAGTTATTTTTAGAAGATAGAGGTAAAAGTTCTACCTGGTTTTGAAGACCCAGTATCAGCCTGTCCTAACTGCTTTTTCCTTTTGGCTTCCTCCACTGGATTTTCAAACTGGGTTTTCTGGTTAAGGTGACTGTAAAATGTAGACAAATATGCATTTCAGTTTAATATGAAAGAATTACATATTTTAAAATAGACTCTCATATCATTCCATCATCACTCATTAAGGGACAAACACGTATCCTTATGCTATGGAACCCAGAGATGCTGACAAGTCTTGGAGGAAGAGCTTGTCAGCAGCTAAAGAATGACCTGCAGAAGACGCCTAGAAGTCAAAGTTGCTGAAATGTTTCATACAGCTTCTCTATAATCGTTCCTAATATTGCTAACAACAGTTTTCAAAACTACAAATAAAGCCCTCATATATGATATAGCTAGAACTACTGGCAATTAATCAATTAAATTTTTTTAAAGGCAGTTAATGGCAGGAAGGTTTTAAGTTTCTCTGAAGTGAAGCAGCTGTGAAGACACTTTTAAAGAAATCTAAGTACAGACGTCTTCTAAAATTTTACTATTATTTTTCCAACTGACTCACCCACATCAATTTACATCAAAAAAGCAAAGTGATTTGCTTTTATCAAACTGTTATCACAGACCAACTCTTTTACAGTTAAATTTCTTCAAAATTATATAATAACTAATTACATAATTATAAGTTCAACTCTTTTTGACAATTTAGGAACACTCATAACTGACTCTTTGAAAGCATACAAGTCTGTGGTGGAAATCAGAAAAGTATGGGGAGACAAGAGGCAGGCCATTAGATGACAGTATTCAATACACTATGGTAAGATATGTTTTACAGAAGGAACTGAGCATCGGCTATTCTGGAAAGCCAGTTAATTATAAGTCGATTAAGAATGCAACTACTATATGAAAGATGTTTAAGACTGCAGCTAGGTCTAACACAGAAACAAGGGGGAATTACATTCTAGTACTTCTACACTAAAAATACATTTCAGCCAATTGAAATTCATTTTCCAGAAGAATCCATTTTAACAAGAAGTGACATTACTACATATCAACAATTAAACATTAAATCATGAGAATTTCAGATTATGATTGTCTTTAGATACGCTGAATATTACAAAATCTATACATAGTCAGTCATACAACTTGGATATTTTCTTTACCACTTGTGTTCATTAATGGGGATGGAGGAGGGGTCGACAGGGAGGAAAAAAACCCTTACAGCAAGGTATCCTAGCTTCCGAGTATGCTTCTTTATGTCTTTTAGGATTCTAGTGCATTATCAACCCTGCGACAGATGTAGGTATTCAGTTTCAGAGCTCTAAATATGGCAAGTTCTACGTGACATTCTTTGGGTTCTGATTTCACTAAAACTAAAGTATGCTTCTGCTTCTTACTATGAGAAAGGACCTTATCAACAGAGTTAACTGTTTAACCTTCCACGAAAATGAAAATCTTTGGTGTTAAGTTAGATACCATTTTTAAAGTTATTTATTATGTACTGATAATTTACATATTCCTGAAAAAACAAAACTAGAAACTGACACTTTGAAAAGAATAACCTGTTTAGAAAGAACCTTGGCTTACTTGAATGTCATCAGTTAGAATGACTCACTTTGCCGCCCAGGCATTAATACATAAAAAGGAGTAATTTATATTTATACTCTTTGTAATGTGTGGGAGAAGAGAGTAGAAGAATGCAAATGAGTAATCCCTTTCCTGAAAAGTCTTTGACAAAAGAGTGTAAGATTTTAGAGAAAAGAGTAATTGCATCTGTCATCTTAGACTACCTAGATTAAAATGCCAACCAAAAAACACAACAGTAAAAACACTCTCCTTTTCCTTTCTTTACTTATACCCATAGTATTATTAACATGTAAAAAATTTTATTTTCTGTAAAACTAGCTATGGGAAGAGAAGGGACCATAATAGATTATTAGAAAAAGTAAACAAGAGTAGCAAACAAGCCTGATTAAATAGATAATATATAATTTGAAATTTCACCTCTATTAAAATTTTGTGTAAATATATGAATTTTAAGAATTCATCTCAACAAACAAAATCATTATCCTTCATGAAAAGTTAAGATATGAAAAGCAGGTGTATATTTTGACTGTGTCACCTAACTGTACAAAGGCAATTAAAGAACACATTAAGACAACATTTCTAAAGATATGAGCATTAAGTCTTAAGGAAGGCCTGCCATTAAATTTTGGGAACACTTTTATTTCCAAAAATAAATTAATCCATTTCAGAATCTCATCTTCTAAAATAAATGCTTACCCCAAAAACCTGCCATTGCAGTTGGTGTTACTACTATAAGGCTCTTGCCAAGAGCAATCACTGTGCCATCTGGTTTGACAAACTAAGAGAGCCAGAGAGTAGCCATTCAAGTAACAGCTTTTTATCTCCATCAGTAAACTCACTGCAGATTACTATAGTTGAGATTCAAAGCTTAACTAATCTGGGAATCAAGCCACACTTCAGAACTCGGCTGATTCCATACTAATGTGCATCTTGAGTACAGCGTGCTCTTTCTTAATCTAATAAATTACCCTCCAGTAAAATGAGCTCGTCTGGGAACTCTCATACCAAATCACATCGCTGCCACTGCTGTTGATTCTAATCAGGCTGTTTCACATGCCTCCATGACAGCTGGGAGCAGGTCACTTCAGGACTGCCCTAAAGTTGCTTCAATATTAGTACATCCTTGTTTAATGAGAACCAGATCATTTAGTGCAAAATTTTATAACAGGCAAATGAATTTCACCTCTTGACCATGCATTCAAATTTGTTGGAATGGATACTAAGAGAATGAGAATCATTATCTCAGAAATGTTCAGCAGTGTTAATGGCAAATAATAGTTGATGGAAACCCAATTTGAACAGACTAACTATTAGGGGGAAATTTACCAAAAATTCTTTTCAGTTAGCCTTCAAATATTCCTTTGATTTGAAAATGGTTTTTTTTTTTCTTTTAACTAAATATACTTTAGAAAAAAGTAACAAAAGAGCCGCTGTATACTTCTCACATCATAGTATCAGAAAGATAAGAAATAAAATTAACATAACCTTTCAATGGAACGGTTAAGTTATAGATCTAAGGGTCAAACTGAGTTATTTTTCTTAGGGTATAAGTTAGACTTTAAGAAATCATTCCAAAACTCTCTCTAACCACAGTGACTCAAGTAACAGCCCACACGCTAGTATAAGAACTAGCATTATAACAGGAATCAGTTACTCACTTTAGGGAAGTGGCATTTATTCATGCCAACAAATGATGAAAAACTAATTAGCAATCATAAAAACAGAAGATGCTCATGTTCACCATTTTCCAGGTAATAATATTTTGCCTTCACTACCTTGGCAGATGGTGCAGACTCCTAGTTCCCAAGTTAATAGTAACCTCTCTGATGTAATTATTTGCCTGGTAGTAGATGACTGAGGTCAAAATTCTATCTATATCATCTGGAAAGAAAGCAATCCCAATGATCATAACAATGTAGCAATTAGATAAATGAAGAAAAGGGAAAGAAAATCAGAAGTTGATGTTATCCTAATTTCTCTGGCTAACATAGGCAGGTGTTTGATCCTCTATTCCAACACAGATTTATGTTTAAATTTAACTATAGCAGCTGTGTCAGAAGCAACTTTCACCTCCAAAAAGAAAACTAAGTTTTCCTTGATTAACTCCTTAAAAAAGAGAACAGTTGTAATCATGTACTTCAAAATTTTGGATCACTATGATACAATGTCCTCAAAGTCCTTTCATTGCCTTGAGAATCATGCAGGTGTGGTGTTGAAAGTGACCTTACTAGTTCACCTTTAGTTTTCTATCTGACTACTTCTCTTTCTAGAGGCCGTAGGAGTACTGATGACATCTCCAGCTATTAATCATCTGAGCAACTTCCCCTTGGCTCTCTATACTTACTTCAAAGTCAACTTCTAGGGAACACAGAATCAGTGAAGTAAATGCCCACTGTCCCTACCTTCTCCTTCCCCTGGTGGCAAAACCTGAAAGTGGGATTGCAGACGCATAAGGTACTTCATTCACTCCCCAAAGTTGTGCAATGAAAGGGAAACATTTGGGAAAGCATAAACTGAGGTAACAAACTTACTCAACATAGTACGTCCCATACTGAGGGTCCTCTATTTTCTCCCAGCCGTAAGGAAGTTCTGCAAATTAAAAAAAAAAAAAAAAAGAATTGAGTGAAATGCCAGTTTCAAAACCAACAAGAAAAGAATTTACCAAGTGAATTCCTGTCTTTTTATTTCAATACACTGATATTTGGGAGACGGTAAGGTAAGAACTTGCTTTCAAAGTACAAACACAGTTTGACTCAGAGGCTTCTTCAGGAACCAGTAAATGTCTCAACAAGCAATTAGAAGCAGAGAACAAAAGACAACATTAAACTCGAAGGTGTTTATTCTAATCGTGAGTCATAAAAATGCTAGATATTTAAAAACGATTACCTGGTATAGTTATTTCATTTAAACAGCTTTATAGCACTGATGTGAGATACATCCTGCATGTCAATAACATGCAGTAGCTGCTCGTTAATTTTTTCACTATGATGCAAAGGAACTGTCAATTCTTTCTGTTATCACATTCTAACTCACTTTTCTCCACAGGAAAGTCCAGTCTTGGACTTAAGCCATTTCAAGTGGGCAATTTAGATTTGCTTAAAAGCTAAGAAAATACCTACTTTCTCTTGAAATAACAAGATCTAAGTGTCTGAAGGAAAACTACACAGTGCCTTGCGTAGAATCTCTATTTGTGTATGGTCACAAAGAAATATCTTACATAGAATTATTACGTATTATTGCAAGTAAAGTGACCAATAAAATATAACCAGAAAAATTAAAGGTAGTTGAATTTCTGATAGCTAAAAAAATAAAAATATTCTGGTCTTTTCAACATAAACTGACCCTGTCAAGAAAGAATCTTCTTTCCTTCCCACTAGCTTCCCAGGTGGCTCAGAGTGCAAAGTGTCTGCCTGCAATGTGGGAGACCTGCGTTCGATCCCTGGGTCGGGAAGATCCCCTGGAGAAGGAAATGGCAACCCACTCCAGTATTCTTGCCTGGAGAATCCCATGGACAGAGGAGCCTGGTGGGCTACAGTTCACGGGGTCGCAAACAGTTGGACATGACTGAGCGACTTCACTTTCTTTTCCCTCCCACTCTGTCTGTTTTCCAAGGTAAGGCTGCTGAAGAATCTTTGTATTAGTCAGACATGGTTTAAGTTGGCAGGAGTGTTCCTAGCAGGTGGTTTTTATTTATCAATTATACACAGGAGCTCAGCAAGAAGGAAGTTTAAAAAAAATCTACAGTTGTACACTATAATGACCACTCTTTGATTTTCAATTTCTTGTAGACTGTGTTTCTGCTATACTGAAACACAGACACATGTGCATATATATATAAATGACATATGCTAGGCAGCAAACAGGCTTAGAAAACATCAAAGGACTTATTAATTTCATATCACTAAGCTGCAGTACAATGTATCCACTTTGTAAGAAAAAATCCCATTGAACCTGATAAACAGTACAAACCGTTACACTCTAATAAAAAGTATTATTCCACATTCAGGACAAAAGAAGAGAACAGATGACCAGCCTCTTGATGAAAAGCTGTGAATCACCTCCACTCCTTTTTCTCCAGCATGCCTATGTATATAATATTAACTGGAAATTCAGAAGTCTGGTGAGCTTTTGCGGTTTTCCTTTGAAAAAACCTGGTTGAAATGTCTGAGATGGAAAAGATGACAATAGCTGAAAAGTAACTACTATGTGAAAACAGATCAAAACAACTGAGAAGAACTGGGATATACTTCAGTTCACTTTGATCCTCCACAGCTACAAGGCAAACAATCATCAATTAAGTACAATATTTTATGACTCATGTGAACAGAAAAAAGAACAAAGAGCATCACTCATCACCCAGTTCTACAAGGGTTAAGTTGCAATCCACTGCATCCTGAAAGCAATTCGGGATGAAAAAATAAAACAGGATGAGGCACTCTGTGCTTTGGATAAACGGGTCTTACATAATTAGATGCATTATTGCAGGAAGAATTTCAATGACCCCAGTGCCTTTTCTTCCCATACACAGAAAAGTACTAAGACCATTAACTTGAGATATCTATCTGTTGTTTGTGATTAGCAGTAATCTTTTATTAAAATGCATGCTTGACTACATAGATATCCTAACCAAAAAATTCATATACATCCTGGCTCCTCTACTAGCTCTTGGAACAGGTCCTCAGAGTTACTGAGTGCCTGTCTCCGGGGCACAGTCCTTGGTTAGACCCTAAATAAAAAAGCTCACAACTCTCATTCATGTTGTGTGTTTTTCTTCAAGTCAACACCAAGCAACTGCTACATGAATAAAAGTATTTGTTGGACTGTATCTGTGAAAAACTCTCTATAATAATATTACCAAAGCAATATCATGGAGAATTTCCTATGAGAGAGAGATAATTTTCTTTAATAGAAATTTTCTTGAAATAGCATGGGAACTCAATTGTGCTATGTAAAGATGAGTTCTACAACTGTACCACACCCAGATTTAGGCTCTGTGAGAATTTTGGAGAATTTAAGCAACCATAAATTCAAGGGATTAGCATTAAAAAACAGAGACATTACTTTGCCAACAAAGGTCTGTCTAGTCAAAGCTATGGTTTTCCAGTAGTCATGTATGGATGTGAGAGTTGGACTATAAAGAAAGCTGAGCACTGAAGAACTGATGCTTCTTAACTGTGGTGCTAGAGAAGACTCTTGAGAGTCCCTTGGACAGCAAGGAGATCCACCAGTCCATCCTAAAGGAAATCAGTCCTGAATATTCACTGGAAGGACTGATGCTGAAGTTGAAACACCAACACTTTGGCCACCTAATGCAAAGAACTGACTCATTTGAAAAGACTGGTGCTGGATAAGATTGAAGGCAGGAGGAGAAGGGGATGACAGAGGATGAGATGGTTGGATAGCAACACCGACTCAATGGACATGAGTTTGAGTAAGCTCCGGGAGTTGGTGATGGACAGGAAAGCCTGGCATGCTGCCGTCCATGGGGGTCACAGAGTCAGACATGACTGAGCAACTGAACTGAACTGAATTAAGCAACTATAGAGATAGTTGAAATATTCCATTTGCTCCTTGAAAAATTCACTAAGAAGGATGCCTAATAAAAGATCAACATAAATATATTTCAGTATTAATGTGGAAGTTGAGACAGCATTTTAGTTAGCACTTAAAGTAGCAACTAACAGATAAAGTACAGTCCTTTCTTTAGGAGTGTAAACAAATTGGTAATTTATATTCTGGATTACTCTTAGCAATCCCTTTAAACCTTCAAATGTGATAACATCAGACAGGTTTTTCCAGGGTAGATTCATGGAGTTAAAGAAGTGATTATTACTTGCCCAATTAAACTAAAGGTAATAAAATCAAGACTAAAATACCTAGCAATTTTATACACTATCCAGTGAGTCAATTCATTTACTGAATTTCTCCCCCTTTCTTTCTTCTCTTCCTGCCCTCTCCTTCCTTATGCAAAAATGAAAATTAGAAACACAGTTCTTGGTATCAAGAAGTTCATAGTTGAAAAGTTAAAACAGAAGAAAGAAATGATACAATGAAACAGAAATTGTGAAGGTGTTAGTTGCTCAGTTGTGTCCAACTCTGCAATCCCATGGACTATAGCCTGCCAGGCTTCTCCATCCATGGGATTTTCCACGCAAAAATACTGGACTGGGTTTCCATTTCCTTCTCCAGGGGATCTTCCCAACCCAGGAATTGAACCTGGGTCTCCTGTATTGCAGGAAGATACTTTACTGTCTGAGCTATCAGGCAAGCATAATAATGAAACAAGCAAGCTTTTGAGGGAAAGCTGAGGAACAACACCAATTGCTTGGTAAAACCGTCATCAGAAAAGTATTTTAGAAGATGGTGACATTTGAGCAGTCCTAAAGAATGAGTTGGGATTGGTGAGAGGGAGGCCATTTGACTGATCAAAGAGCACTGAGGGATTAAAACTGGCTGGCATTTTCAGTAATTACAAATAATTTGACAGGACTAGAATGAAGTATGTATGCCAGGGGGCTTGTCTTATAATAGGAACCAAAACACATTTCTGGAGTGCTGGGTTAAGGAGTTTGGCCTTTATTTTGATGATGATTAAACTGGACTGTGACATGATTAAGTTAAATTTGGGGAAGTTATGGGTAACAGAAATAAAGGATGAAATAGATGGGAGTGGAGTGAAAATAAAGGCAGGCGAATAAAAAAAATCATTAACAGCCTAGATGAGAAATTATGAAGGCTGGAGCTAAGGCACTGGCAGTGGGAATATAGAGAAATAATGGATAATAGAGACAAGCAAGTTGAAGCGACAGAACTTAACGACTAGCACGCAGATTGTGGGAGGGGAGGAGGTCAAGACGACACCCAGGTGAATGGTTGTTTAAGCATAAATATGATACATTATAAAATATTTATTGGACACCTATGGAAACAGCTGTAAGAAGAGGAAAGAAGTGTTAATTGGATTTAGAGGCACTTAGGAGACAGATATCTGGAGGAGGAAATGGCAACCCACTCCAGTATTCTTGCCTGGAGAATCCCAAGGAGAGAGGAGCCTAGCAGGCCACAGCCATGGGGTGGCAAAGAGTTGGACACGAATGAATGACTGAGACAGCACAGGAGACAGATAATAAGAAAAAAAAAGAGGCGCACCAGTGGACACTTAAGAGACGGCAGATTTTTTAAAGTTAGAATTGATAGAACTTGATACTTAGCTGCAATGAAGAAGATAGGGTGAGGAAAAAGTTGAGGATGATAACCAGTTTCAGACTACAGAACTGGGAGGATGAAAGGTCAGTTGGTGACGGCAGGAAGAGCAGATACACAAAAGATTTAACTCGGTTTGGAAGGTGTTGCGTTTGAGGGGCTATGCAACATCCTTGTAGACATACCTAACAATTTCTTGGAAATATGAACCTGGTCCTGACCTCAAAAGAGAAACAGGAAGATAAAAGATCTGGGAGACACTGCAATTAAAGCTATGGCAGTGGACAAAATTACTGAGGTTAAGTTGTGAATAGAAAAGATGGACAGTAGAAGCTTAGGAGCATTAACAATTTAAGGAGCAGAGTAAGAATAGGGGAATGGAGTCA